GTGTGCATCATCATCACAACATGTGTGCAGAATGTGATGGGAACATTGTGTTATCTGCCCATCCTCCATTGTGTGGCCGAAGAGTAACGACCCCCATGCTGTAGTGGAGGCCATCGATGCGCTTGTTGCCAGCTTGAGTCGTTCCAAAGAGCAACTGAAGGGATCATGTGAGGCTCCAGGCCTTGTGTGTAGTGTAGTTGTCTCTCTCAGCAATAGTAGACCAAGGAAAGGATCTCATAGAGAACATTATAAGGAATGCTCCGATGGAGAGCGAGCTTTATAAGGTTTGGGAGAAGGAGGTGATGGAGGCCTTCGATCGGCTACTCAAGAACGACAACACCAACAGATCGGTGTAGGAGTGTGGGAGTAACCTCTAGCTGGAGTAGTATCGTGCACTTTAGTATCAACGATGGTTTCCTTATGAACATCCCTGGTATACGCAAGGCAACTGTAGAGCACATCCTACAGCATCTGAGTGCCTTCCTAGAGGACATCCTCCAGCGGAAGGATCGCCTTACCAAGGACCTCATACAGGATCTGAGAGCCGTATTATGCTGAAGCTATTGGGCTCCTTATTGTACAAGTGTCTAATTAGATATTCCGTCTAGTAGGACGATATGGTAGCAGAGGGGAGGGTTTGAAATTGTCCATCATACGTCCTATCGTGGATGATATCATAGCGAACACTGAAAAGTATACCTTCCAGCTACCTCGGCACCCAGTCGGGACCATAGACATGCTCATCGAAATACAGACGGACCTGGTGGAAGTGGGCCTATAATGTGGGTGCTCAAGTGCTAACAGTCATCGATAGTTCCTCACTGCACGGCCTTGGTCAAAGGATAAGGAGCAGTGCTTGGAGAAGGTAGTCGCTGCTCGGCCTACCCTCCTTACAGACAATGACGGCATTTACCGTCTAGCGCGGAAAAGGTTGCCATCCATCTTTACAAAGTATCGTAATTCATACCAATCTCTCGCAACATCATCATCATCTCAGAATTCCTGATACCACTGATGATAATAGTAAGGAGAGAGAGGAGGTAAGACTGCTGCTGCTGCTGCCCTCTTGTATGGCTCCTATAGGAACCTCTGTAGATGCTGAAACCACCTCGATGCTATAGAGGCTTCAGTGGTGGTCCTTATCCTAAGGAGGACTTGGATATGAGCTGGTGGACGGATGCTGAAGTTGCTGTAAGCACTTGAGCGGGGCATCATCATCATCATCATGTTGTTCGATTGCTAGGTGATTGATCGGATGGTGGGAAAAGAGTTCAGCTTAGAAAGAGAGGATAGGAAGAGCCTTAGTTACCGTACCAAGTGGGACTCCTATCATCGGATCCACTTTAACGATCTGAACAGGCATCACCATGTGCTATCCTCATTTCGAACAGTATGCCCGTCTTACTTCGTCAACAGTGAGCTCATCCCATCGAGTGGCTGTGCTCAGTCTTTACTATCTCTCAGGGATTGAGGACAATCTCTCATCACTCAGTGACAGCGCTGTGGTAGATGCTAAGCAAAAGCGGCAAGACGATGATGATGCCCTCGCCTTGATGGAAGTTGACTTGAAACTACTATCAAGGATGGATACAGTGGGCGCCGAGTCAGCTAAGGTGGCAATCAACCACGACTGTCCGTGTTTTACTGTTATTGGAAGGTATTTCTAAGGCCGGAGCTCCTCACCACTGATGCTGCTAGGACTGCTCCGTAGGGTATCGTGGGCTATGCTTGGCTAGAGATGGCATGCGGTAGGTTCTGTCTGGCTAGAGTGGCGTCCACTACATTGACTGAGGATCAACTCTTCGACGATTTCATAGGAGCTACATTTCGCAAATCCTCTGGGACTGCAATTAAATTGACAGTAGTCGTAATCACCCTTCGGAGGGTCCTCATAGTTCTACAGGTACACAAGGAGCTATGTCACGCTGCTGCAAGGTTCGGCTCTATCGATCGTCGGCAGTACTGGTTGAAGTATCGTCTATTCACTCGTGATGGTGCCAGAAAGCATGTTCATAAGGATATTGTACAGGCCATAGGATCAGCATTTATACAGTACGCGCTGGCCTCTCACCACTAGAGTCGTATGACCCTATGTCAGTAACATGCTCTGGTGTAGTGATTGGCAAGTACTGGAAACCTGCATGGACATGTCTAAGGAGGTCCCTGATGCTCTCAGTAAATACGTAGTTCCTCGGCCCACCGGCTATCGACTAGACTCGTGCGATACCACTGAGGCCCGTTGTCGGTACATTAAAACGGTACGGCTGAGGCAGAGATGGTATGTTTTGTTGGAGCCTCTCGACAGGTCCTACTACCAGTGTTTGAGAATACCATCGGTGAACAGGATATTGCCGACTCTTGCATCACAGCATTGGAAGCTTGGTCGGAGGGCAAGCCGGACATTACAAAGTCTGCGGAGTCTGCTATCGTTATCGCGTTGAAGCGTATTCTAACAGACAAGAATTCTCCTTATTCTCTCTTCAGTCGGGTAGGTTCATCTTGACGCTGAGGTCTGTGATAGGATATGGTGTGGTTAGGCTCTCGACTTGTTTTCCACTTACATCTTGGAGGGTAGCAACACTGCCTTGACCGCCTATGTCGAGGCATTCGATTCTTTACTGGAGGGATACTGGAAACCAGCGGTAGGCCGCTCTTGATTCACCGTTATTACTTCCTCACTTTTAACTGCAGGTCAACAAGGACGAGCCTATGAATCCTGATGATGATGAAGGGCAGAGGCTTGAGGCCCTCATCAGAAGGTTCCTCCAGACCGTCCGTGCTCCATTAGAAGTCGAAAACCTGAAGACAACCCTCGGGCATATTGCTGATGCCCTCGAGGGTGTTGTCGGCCTCGGGAGTTTATGGAGTGATGCCAGAATACAGTACATCCTTGCAGGCCGCTCTCCCAGCGATCTCAATGACGTGCTCCCTTCCATTAAGGACCATTTGGACACTGTTGAAGGCAATCGCGATGACCTAGTGTCCCAATGTATCAACACTATCACCAAGTGGTTGGGCCCTGAGTTCCCGATACCACAGGTGTCTGCATTAGCCTCTAACAGTGACTATCGGCTCAGGCTGCTTGCCGTGCAGTTATATAACACTCGAGATAGCGATGAACGCTCGGCTGCTATTACTGCCCTTTGGCGAGGTGGCCTTTGTAGGGACTCCAAGTTGGCAGTTCGTGAGGAAGCCTTTAGGGCTGTTACTCACTTGAGGATGTTGTTGTGAAGTACTGTGCGCTATTCATTTGTTTTTAACACAGATATGTTCAGAGTTAAGTTTATGTATTCTCGTTTCTAATGGGCATCCATCAGTGACTAATCAGTTGAGGAAATTGAAGATAATTCGGGGGAGGTGACCAAGTGGAGATCGAGTCTAGTACCACTCAAGGACCTCCTTCTATGCGGTGACCAAGAAGTGGCTAAATCAACTGCCTATTATTATCACCCCAAACGTTATCGCGATGAGATAGTGTGCTAATACGTCTATGTGTAACGTTATCCATACCACCTCATTGCTCCTGTAGCAGTCCTCTACATATTGCAGGGATCTCGGCTCTGGCAGGTTTTATAATTAGACACTAATTTTCAGCCGGTGGGACGATACTTGCACTCGAGGGCACATTGGCGTCGTAAGACGTTCTCTGCTTGCCAGACAGCGAGGCTGAATACAACAACAATCTCTTTGAAGACTATTCTTGCGGCCGTCATGGTAATCAACTTGAAGTTTTCGACTTGAACCTATCCAACATGATTTGCCCGGTGTGTTATATTTCTTCGTATTGCCATCATTTCACCCATCTTGTCCATCGTTTTCAATTCAGGTTGCTATTCTTGTTGATTTAGACCTGAGGTTGATACAGGGAGTCTTGTCGTTTCATGTGTCCAGGGTGATGGGCATTTTCCTATAAGGCGGGTGGTACGCTTTGCGGTGATAATAGCAGTTGATAGGGGTATACAATTCTTGTACAATTGCTAATGCCTTCTGACCATACCTATTACTACGATATTCTGCATGTGCCGAGTAGTTCTTCACCCAACGAGATAAAGAAGGCTTACAAGAAGCAAGGTAATACCGTTGGGCCCTTTGAAGGGGATAGTGTGTTGATGTTACTTAGCGTTGAAGTGGCATCCTGATAAGAATCCTGATAACCGTGAGACGGCTGAGAAGATGTTCAAGGAGGTATACTGGCAGGTGAAGATAGTAACAGTTCACTTATCTATGTAGGTAGCCGAGGCCTATGGGGTCCTCAGTGATCCTCAGAAGAAGCGGATATATGATACATATGGGAGGAGTGGTCTAGAGAGAGGCAATAGCTCCTCTGGTGCATCACACACAGCTGGAGGTCCGTGTCCTGTTTATGGCCTATTGTAGTGATGAGTCTTCAGGATACCATCATTACGATATGAACGACGCTTTCTCGGTCTTTGAACAGTTTTTTGGGAGTCACGATCCCTGGCAGCAGTTTGATGATCTGGTCAATGGTAACTTACTACGAGCGATGAGCTCATCATCGAGTAGAGGCGGGGGAGCTTGGATGGGAAGTAGGCTCAAAGCGACCTTAGGAGTCTATAAGGAATGTCCATGTGCTTTAGTGTCCGCCTTTGATGATCCTTTCTTTACCCAAGGATTCACCGGTCAGAGTTCATCGAGGAGAACCAACTTTGCTAACTTTAGCAGTAGTGTCAGTTCTGGTGGCTTCGCTCGATCATCTACTGGGAGTGC